ATATATCTGAAGAGCAGGGGATGATTCCTGTCTGAAAGTCACCAGCAGCGCTGCCCTCGTGAGCAGCAGCAGCCAGGTTTTAGCAGACCACTGGCTAAAGCTTGAAATGAATGTTTGTCCTCTTTCATCTAGTCAGCTTTAAATAAAAATACATGCAAACGACTCCTGGCTTTCGGCAGGTGCAGAGCAGGAAGGGATGAAGCAGGCAATTAGCCCCAATCCAAACCACTGAAAATAGATCTATTTACACTCAAAATTGGTGGCTCGCTTGCATTTTCCACTGGTAATTATGCACCACTGGCTCCCATTCTGCAGGTCAGGCTGGGAACGCTGCGGATGAAAAATGCCTTGTGTGGGTGGCAAAGCATGACAAGGGCACGGGCAGGGACCTTGTAATTCTTCTATTTCCATTGTTGATTTGGTCTGGTCTGAATCACTCCTGTTTCCAAACGAGCTGCCTACGGATGTATGACGCTATCACCCAGCTGCCTGACGTGGAGGGAAGGAGGGACTGACATCAGCACGACAAAAGTGACGCTGTTTGCAAAATAACCTCAGCAAAAAGAACAAAAATGAACTGAAAAAAAAAACACCTTGTCCATCAAATCAGGCAGAAAACAGAAAAATTCCAGCTCGGAGCTGATGTACTCCACCAGTCCTGGTCTGAGGAGTGTAGTTACATCTTTATTAGGAAATTAAGCACTGCCAGGATCCATTCTGGCCATGAAGCCAGCTGACAAGTGCTGGTCTCATCCATCCACACTACTAAACTCTTTCACTCCTGATACAGAGCGGCTGCATCCAGGCTGCTGATTTGGGATGGTCTCTGGGCAGCATCGTCACCCGTGCAAGCTGTGCCTGAGCCCAGGGCTCACTGGAGTAGGTCAAAACCACGCCAGGGAAGGTCTGAACCATGTAACACTGGGGATGGTGGAGCCCTTGTGCCCCAGCTTAGCCCTGGCATGGCTTAGCTGGCTGGTTTAGATGATCCAAGAGTAAATTGAGAAGCACAAACACTCCAGAGAAGTTGCCCGCTGGTCTTGCGACGTCAACAAATACGGACTCAACCTTCTCCATGGCAGTTTGAAAAATCCCTCACGTGGTATCTTCCAGCAAAAGGGGAGACATGGTAGAACTACCCTTCCAAAGAGAAGCTGAGCAGTTAAAAATCGAGTGAAACCAAAACAAGCCACTCAGTGTCCTGCCAAAGTGCACACCGAAAATCAAGGGGACCCCAGGAAAAAAATAAAACAACCAGGAGGCAAAGACCAGATTTTTAGCATTGACATTAGTACCAATAAGGAGCTGGGGGTAATTTTGCTCCCCCTGCTTTTGGCTTGGCAAAAGGCGCTGTTTGGCAACAAGATCACAGATAATCCCAAGAGGAAATGGTCACCACAAACTGTCCACCAGGAACACGTTGGGTGTAGTGGTAGAGCACGTGCTTTACATTAAGGCTGTAATGAAACCCTTCAGAGAGATGTAGCTCTTCAAGGTTGACGCAGGCTCTCACTGGACATCTTGTGCCAAGATGCCAGTGGTCATTATCCAAAAAAAAAAAAGGACTAAAGAGTAGAGGCAGAAAGTTTATGCAGCTGAGAGTAATGGAACAGTCTCAACACGCAGAGGAGGAGGCACCTGCCTTCATTGCTGTCCATACTACGAGCCACGAAGAAGGAGGACTTTGGAGCAGAGGTGTGTCAAGCCCTTAGTCAAGCTGGTTTGGCTGTGAGAAATTAGCACTGTATTGAGAGGTAAGGTCACTTCTAGAGTGTTTTGCCCCTCCGCTCCTGTAACAGGATGGAGAGGACGGCTGTTGGTGTGGTGTTGTGGAGCAAAGGTCCTGTTCCTGAGGGAAGGCAGGCTGCAGCTCCTCATGAGAGGCAACACTGAAGGGTCTCCTCCTCCATCAGGGATTCCTGATGAGTGTGCCTCGGCTCGTTGACTCCTTTCACTGTCCTGGTGCGAAGCGGCAGGTTCTGGCTCTTCAGCTGGGGCCACATCTTCAAACCAGACCTCAAGGTTGGTGAGTTCAGGGAAGGGGGAGGCCTTCTTATGGTCCTTCTGAAAATGAGGATGCTGGAGGAAAGGTCCCTGAGGAACAGCAGGGTGGTTGTCGTCATTCGTTCCCTTCTCATGCTTATGCCAATGGAATGGAGATGTAGAGAGGTGAGCTCTTCACGGAAGGACCAAGGAGAGTCTTTACACAGGGCATGTGTCTCAGGGAACTGGATCAGGGTGAATCTACACTAGTATTAAAGCTAAGCCAAAAGAAATTCCTGGGAGGAGAAGTACAGACCTGTTGCTGGAGGATGGGCACCTCTGGGGAGTTACGACTCAGTAGCTGGGGTCAGCAAGTTCACTTCACAAATTACCTCTTTTCATGGAGACAACATACTGATTAGGGAAGAAACGGGGTGAGATGTTAGTAGGACTCTTGAGAAGGGACTGGTTATGGGACACACGATGGAGAAGGGAAATGAAAGGGTTTCACAAATATATATGTATCCATATATATATATTTATGTGCACAGTGACCAAGGGAATTTAGATAGGGGATGAGAAGACAAAATCCCTCCCTTTGCACGAAAATGTGACCATCATATTGGTTGCAATCAGAGCCCAGAAACATTTGCCTGAAATGGAGTTTGACTGGGAATTACAGTACCAGTGACAATTTGGCTTCTTAGAAACTTTGCCGTGTATCTATGGTTTGGCGTGAACGAGTCCTGCCCTCCTGAAAAGGGACAGGCACCAGTTAAAAGTTTTCTTTACAAAACAAAAGGAAACAACTGAAGGAACCCCAATGTTTTCTCAGAACACTGCAAAGGATCACTGATTGAAAAAAATGTTTCTCTTCAGGTATATTCAGGCGAAGAAAGCATTCAGCTTCTTTAAACTGTTATATAAAATTGGTACTAGTTTCTTTAAATACTATTATAATTTAAAAAAAAAAAATTCCTCAAATTAAAAAAAAAATAATCATAATCATAATTAAAAAATATCCCCCCCATGCTGATCTCCTCTTCAGAACAGGTCAGCATGGGAGTTTTGCACCCTAGACAGTTACAGTATTTCTGGAATAAAAAATTGCAATTACACACAGAAAATACTACAGCATTCACTTAAAAAGATCTCGTTTTGTTGTTGTTGGTTTTTTTTCCCCTCCCAAGCAGAGGGATGGTGGGATTGAAAAGATGCCCTGAAACAGGAATATCCCTTTAAAGGAGCAATACTCTCAAGAACGGAAAAAGGGTGTCGGGTAGACGCAAACCCGTGATCGAACTCAAACCCAAGAGATTCCAGCACAGAAACAGAATCAGAATGTGAATGTTCAAGACATCGAGCGGGTTATTTCTTGGAAATGTCAAGACAACCACACGACCCCTCGGCAGGTGCCCGTCTAGGCTTTGCCATCCTCGGAGGTGGCAGCATCTCCTTTGAGGTGAGAAGACTAAGCTAAACCACGACGCACTTGGGTTTCCTCTGGTGGTCGTTTCTCATCACGTACTTACAGTAGAAGGTGACACGAGACAGTTTTTTTATCATCAGTTCCCCACGTGTACCGAGTTGAAGAATTCTCAGCTAAATCACAACAACAACATCAACAAAAATTACAAAGCACCAAAATCATCTCGAGACGTTGAGTCAGTTTTACAGGTTATTACCGTTTGAAGAAGTTTGTTGGTTGTTTTGCTGTTGTTTTGTTTGTTTTTGTTTGTTTTATCCCGATTTTTCGTGTTTTGTTTTCCTTAAAAACAAAACAAGAACAAAAATCAAAACCCCAAAAACCCCCAAAATGGAACGAAGGATGCTTTACAATCACTTTAAGGCTCGCACTGAATGAGACATGACAGGTCTTACACGAGATTACAAATAATACATGGATGCCTTTCACAGCCTTAAAATGATACAGTAGGTCAAATTCTTTTGCCAGTCACTGATCAAGTATTGTGCCTTTAAATTGACTCGCTTTTTGCTACTATGCTGAGTTTTATTATTACTGAAATAGTTATTAGAGAGGTGGAAATGTACTTTAGCATCATGGGTTCGGGTATCTAGAATTTCAATGTTTGTGGATTTCTGCTTTTTCCAGGGCCTTATTCTGGGCTCGGATGGTTCTTACTCACTCCACTGGAGACAGTGGACGGCTTTAGCACGTGCAGTTGTTCAAAACAAGACCAGATGCTGTCTCACCAGCTTAATCTGGGGCAAGAAAGGCCACCCTTTGTCCCCAGGAAAAGTGGTTTCCGGGGGGGGGGGGGGTCACGTTTCTAACCCAGCCCAGCCAAGTCTTGTAGGCTTGGCCAAGTGGTGTTAGCAACCCAGCGCCAAATTGAGCTACAGACCTGGTTTGGTCTTGGAGCTGTTGGAAAATTCAAGCTCCATTGGGGGCGTCTTGGCTTCGCTTTCTTATCTTTAGACATTTGGGGTTTTTTTTGTCTGCTAAATCGAATAAGAGCAACAAGATTTATTTTTTTATTCATACATTTCTCTCTTTTTTGTCGTCGTTCTGTTTTTTCTTTTCTTTTTTTTTTCTTTTTTTTTAGATTTTAAGGTTTGTCTTTCAGTTGGTTGGTTGTTTAGTTGTTGGTTTGTTTTTTTTTTTTTTCTTGCATTTAATT